GCCCAGACCGGAGGGCAGTGGCCGCTCCCCGGCCACCGCAGCCTCGACCTGCCGGTCTCCGGCGATCCTCCCGCCTCAGCCTTCCAAGTAGCCGGAATTACAGGCATGCGCTACCACGCCCGGCTGATTTTTTGATTTATTGTAGAGATGAGGTCTCGCTGCCCAGGCGGGTCTCGAACCCGCGGGCTCAGGCAAGCCACTCACCTCAGCCTCCCAAAGCGCGGGATTAGAGGCTGAGTCACCGAGCCCGGCCTCTCCTCTTCTTCTTTTAGAGACAGTGTCTCATTCTGTCGCTGGAGTGCAGTGACGTGATCGTAGTTCACCACAGCCTTGAACTCCTGGGCTCAAGCAATCCTCCTGCCTCAACCTTCCAATTAACTGGGACTGCAGGTGTGCACCACCATGCCCAGCTCTTTTTTTTTTTTGTAGAGATGGGGTATCACTATGTTGTCCAGGCTGGTCTCAAACTCCTGGCCTCAAGTGAACCTCCAACCTCGGCCTCCCAAGTGCTGGGATTACAAGTGAGCCACCGTACCCAGTCCAGACTCCTTAGAGGCAGACATCACAAAGCCAGCTTGACATTCTATCTTTTTTTTTTTTTTTTTTTTTTTGAGCTGGAGTCTCACTCTATCGCCTGGGCTGGAGTATAGTGGCATGCTCACGACCACCCCAGCCTCGACCTGCTGGGCTCAGGCAATCCTTCCACCTCAGCCTTCCAAGTAGCCAGAACTACAGGTGTGCACTACCACCCCCAGCTAATTTTTGCTTTATTGCAGAGACGAGGTCACCCCAAGTTGCCCAGACAGGTCTCGAACCTGCGGGCCCTGGCAGTCCCCTCACCTCGTCCTCCCAAAGTGCTGAGATTACAGGCTGAGCCACCAAGCCCGGCCTGACATTCTCTTTAACAGACTGTGAAGCTTATTTGGGGACAGAGAAAGCCTTCATCCAGGAATGTGTCAAGCACAATGTTTTTCCTTCCCTGGTTTCAGAGGTATAATTTTCCCGCTGGAAAAAGGAGCCAGAGAGCCTGACCTGATTTGGGAACAAAGGACAATGGTCACGACTGACCCAGCCTGTCTCCTGTGAGGAGGAGAAAACCAAGCAGCCCCTGCCGGGGACGGACCAGATGCCCAGGAAGAGGACGTTGACCCATGACCCATGAACTTCTCGGAAGTTTCCACCACAGCGGGTCCTGGGGCCACTCGGCCCCATGCCTTGGCTGTTCGTGGCCGGATTGGGAAACGGCGGAGAGGCTGGCACTGCCCGTGCCCCAACGCTGCCCTGCCTTGTCAATTTCACGAGGGGGTGGGGGAGCGCAGGACCTATCCAGGCCGCGTTGGAGGACAGCTCCTCCAGCCCCCACCCACTCCCCGCAGCCAGTCCCAGCCAAGCCCTGAGCTCGGTGTCCGGGTCCACACGGCTACTTGCTGGGGGGAGATTGAGGCTAAGAACCCGGTGGCTCACGGGAGGGTCCACCCTCACCCCGCCCCCACTGGGTTTACGGGATCCCCCCACAGCACCTGTTTAGATATTAACTCGGCCGGCGCTGGCCAAGGCAAACAGGCCAGAGCAGAGGAGAGGAAAGACGTCTGCAGCCATGGACGTGCCCTGGGCCCTGGGGCTGCTGCTGGCTCTCCTGGGGGGGACCCTCACCGGCGCTGAACCTCTGTGAGTCTGGGAGCCCGGGTGACTTTCTGCCTGTTCTCTGCGTGGCTTCCCCTGCTCAAGTCCCCCCGTGCCCCTGTGTTTGTCCACTGGCAGGTACCTCCTGGTGACACCCCGCGTCCTGAGGATCGGCAGCCCTGAGAATGTCCACGTCCAGGCGCACTCGGACTCCAGTCAGCCCCTCACCGGGGCCCTCTCAGTGAACCTCACAGTGTGGGACTTCCCCAGGAGGAAGACGGTGGTGGCCAGGAGGCAACTCGTCCTCTCCCCGGAAAATGACTTCATGGACCAGGCGCCTGTGACGGTTGGTGGCAGGCCAGGAAGAGTGGTCGCACAGGAAGGCTCTGGGTCAGCAGCGAGATGGAGAGGGGCAGACTCTGAGGGGACTCCCCACGAGGGACACGGGAGGGTGGATGCAGGACCTGGACATGCTTACTCCCCTCTTGTGGCCCGGTCATCTAGAAGTCAAAAGTCCTGCCCAGCGCACTGGCTCACGCCTGTAATCCCAGTACTTTGGGAGGCTGAGGCAGGAGGGTCGCTTGAGGTCAGAAGTTCAAGACCAAGGCAATATAGCAAGCTCCTGTCTCTACAAAAAATCCAAAAATTAGTGGGTGTGGTGGCACTTGCCAGTAGTCCCAGCTACTTGGGAGGATTGCTTGAGCCCAAGAGGTCAAGAGTTGAAGCTGTGGTGAGCCATGATCATGCCACTGTGCTCCGGCCTGGGCAACAGAGTGAGACCCATTCTAAAAACAACAACAAAAGTTCCCCAAGCCTGAGCCCCAAGAACCCACCATTAGTCACATGAAACCTCTGTGTGAATTACAAAGGCGCCCTCTGCTGGCATTTTAGGAGCCTGAGCTAGATTCTGTCCCTCCCTTAGCTGGGTGCTGTTGTGCAGTGAGCAACCTGCACAGCCGCACATGGCGACCTTGCTTCCATAGACAGAGCCAGAAGGCTCTCACTCCATTGCTTCTCCCAAGATCTGGTGGAGGGCTTTGCTCCCAGGGAGGGAGGGCCCAGAAAATCCTGAGGAGTATGGGCATCTCTCCGCAGGTTCCCGAGAGCCTGGTGTATCCCCCACAACCAGGGAAGCAATATGTTGTCATCCAGGCAACCTGGACACCCACCTCGGTCTCCTCATTCATGGAGAAGTTGGTGCTGGTGGTGCCCCATGCTGGCTACATCTTCATCCAGACGGACAAGACCATCTACACTCCCGAGCACTTGGGTACAACCCCGAGGCACTGGGCCCCAGCCAGGCCCCGCCTTCTATCTCCACCTGCCCCACTGTCAGACATGCTTTCATCTCCTGAAATCTTCCCCTCACCTCCCAAGGTCTCCTCGCTGCCCAGGATTCTATGACCACCACCCCCTCTCCAGACTCCCTCTCCCCCTCTTCCTCTGTCTAACTCGGAGTTCTCCCACCCTGCAGTCCAGTACCGGGTGCTCACTGTGAACCACAAGATGGACCCCGTAACCAAGACATTCACTCTGGACATCAAGGTGGCCTCTCCCGACAGGGGGGTGGATCCGGACACTGGGGCTGTAGAGTTTGGGGAACTCCTGGGGACCGGAGGCCGCCAGGACCCTCTGCGAGGGAGTCACCAGCCCTGCCCTGCCCCCGCAGAACCCAGACGGTGTCACTGTGATCAGCCAGAGTCTCCTGGCCAAAGATGGCTTCTTCACCAACTCCTTCCATCTCCCTGAGCTCGTGAGGTGTGGCCGGGAGGCCGGGGGAGGGCGCAGAAGGCTGTGGGCCTCTCCCGGGAGGCTGTGGGCCTCCTAACCTTGTGTCCCTCAGTTTCGGGACCTGGACCATGGAAGCCAGCTACCAAAGTGCCACCAAGCAGAGGTTCAAGGCATCCTTCGACGTGAAGGAATACGGTGAGGTGTGGGCGGGCCAAGCCAGGCCGGGCAGACGTGTTGGGACAGGGCTGGAGGTGGAAAGGAAGTCTCAGGGAACACCTGTCCTGGGGCCGAGCAGGGTGCCATGTATTCCAGCCCCTGGGGGTGGCCAGAGTCACTGAGGAAGGAGCAGGGAGGGGGTCGGGAACAAGCCACTGTGCTGAGGGTGCCTCTTGCCCATGTCCCACCCAGTCCTCCCATCTTTTGAGGTCCAGCTGACTCCAAACAAGACTTTCTTCCACCCTAAGGATGAGGCTCTGGGCGTTGACATCCAGGCCCGGTGAGTCCCCTGCCCCCCAGCCCTGCCAGAACACGGGGACACCAAGACACAAACTGCTGGAGAGCTGGGCACGGGGACTCATGCCTAATATCCCAGCACTTTGGGAAACCAGGAGTCTGAGACCAGCCTGGGCAACACAGTGGGACTTTGTCTCTATAAAATAATAATCACACCGGGCTCGGTGGCTCAGCCTGTAATCCCGCGCCTTTGGGAGGCTGAGGTGAGTGGATTGCCTGAGCCCACGGGTTCGAGACCCGCCTGGGCAGCGAGACCTCATCTCTATAATAAATCAAAAAATCAGCTGGGCGTGGTAGCGCACGCCTGTAATTCCGGCTACTCGGAAGGCTGAGGCGGAAGCATCACCGGAGCCCAGCAGGTTGAGGCTGCGGTCCCCGGGAGCGGCCACTGCACTCCAGTCTGGGTGACTGAGTGAGACTCCAACTCAAGAAAAAAAAATAATAATAATAATAATCACAAGGATAGCAATAATAATAAATGGGTAGAGAGAAGCAAGACACTCCTCTGTCACTTCACACAGCAGAGGTTTCTTCTGCCACTCATGAGACATTCTAGGCCAACAGCATTGCCCCGGGGGTTGTACAGATCATTTCTGCCACCCATGAAGTCATAGAAATCATGTTTTTCATGTCTCTACAAGGTGGTCCAGGCCACCTTCTCCACCTAATAGAGTTGTGCTGCACCTCCTCTCATCCACCACCTCCCAGTTGGGGACACCTGTGAAAGCCCAGGGGGTGGGACAGGCCCCCTCTGCCATTGTGAGGTTGTCCAAACCATCTTGGGAGCTGCAAGAGGTTATCCAGTTCTTCCACTTCTGGCATAACACAGATCATTTCCACAGCACGCACATGCTATAAAAGGCCACCTCGTTGCCCTGGTGAGGCTGCACAGGACACCTCAGAGGGTGTCCAGATTTGCTTTCTTTCTTTTTCTTTTTCTTTTCTTTCCCGGCCACTGCAGCCTCGACCTGCTGGGCTCCGGCGATCCTTCCGCCTCAGCCTTCCAAGTAGCCGGAATTAC